GCACTTTCTTCTACTTAGAAATTCACATGGTGTACATCACATTAACTTTGGGTCAAACTGCACTCTTCTAACTAATGGAATAATGTTTTGGTATTCCATACAGTCAAGTGTTTTGTTCCTTATTTCAAAAGGGCTGAAGCTCTTTTCTTCTAAGATGGGTATTTAATAAGAAACTTGATGTTTTATTGGTAGTAAAAGGCTGCTTTCAAACAGTGTACCTTATAATTAGTTTGGTGTTGTAACAATTTACTGTTATATACTACTTTTCAGTATTTTTCAGTGGAGCATCTCAAGTTACTTTACAGTCATTAAATCTTTACTCTTCTACAAGAGATTTACTCTCTGAGTAAATCCTTGGCCTCTGTTCTGGCCCGTTGTGCCAGGCAGAAGTGCCACATTAATGTTAGGACAGAAGCTCCAAGTTTGCCTGGAGCTTCTAGATCTTCCTGGTGTGGACAGTCTACAAGAAATACATAAGGCTGGCACAGAGCTTCCTGGAGAGAACTGTCGCGGTCACTTTGCCTGAAGCAGGAAAGGAGCCGTGTTCTGGGCTCCTTTGCAATGCTTGCAAAGGTATTGGGCATTGATGAGGTTGATAAGGCATACTGAAAGGGCCCTCTGGTGAAATATGTTGGGACCTTCTTCAGTTCCCAAAACCCTTCAGGCTGGGGAGGATGCAGAGATGGCTTTTTATTAGAGGCACTGGATTTTGGGAAAAAAAAAAAAAAAAACACAAGCCTACTAGAATAGTTATTCCTGTATGCATTACTGTAATGCTATTGCATATTTGAGCTGGCTAGTTACTTTTAAAAATAAGAAACTGTTTTTATAAGTTCAGGAAAAATGCTATACACAATGATATGCAGAAGTGAAAGTTACCTCCTTTAGTGTCCTACCTATTATTTCAATATAGTTTTCTAATGCAATTACTAAAATGGTCAGTCATGCCAGATTTTTTTTTAGCTTAGCCTGCCTGAGACTGCTACACAAACTAGCACTCAGAAGCTAAAACAGCTTCACAGAGTTATCTGTGCTCTGAAACGGCACCTGCAACTACAGCTGTACAGTGTGCTGCCTTTCTCTTTTCTATAATTAGAGCAAACATTTGGAAATTGCGATAACACTTTTCCCGTATCTTTACAGGAAAGAAAATGACCTAAAAAGGGAAGAAAGGCTTGTCTGGGAAGGAGCACAGCTAATCCAAACATCACGCAAAACTTGCAGCAGCATAAAGAAAGACCTAATTATCATCCCTTTTCCGACCAAATCTTTTCAGTAACTGTGTGTTTGGTTTTGTTTTTCAAACTCTGTCTTCACTGCAGATTTCCCTACTTGGAAATATCATTGGGGATCACTGTACAGCAACAACAGATAAGGCTGTGCCAAGCAGCAAACAGGCCCATGGTGTAAAAAGCTTGTAATCAGTAAAGGACATGTATGCTAAAAACACAGGCCACCCTAATATGAAAGGTATTAAGTTGATCTGTGATTGTAGTAGTGTTCACATTGCCCAGATAGCTGTGTGCTCTTTCTAAGTAGCCACTTTTCAAACTAGAAAAGTGAAGAAAACAAGCATTTGTGGAAAGAAAACATGACTTTCCTCTTAGAAAGTTGAATTTTGGACTGCTGTACACTACTGTCAAATTTCTTGATTAGTATCTTTGTTAAATCCAGCCAGCAACACTTTCTCTGTCCAAGTTTCCTGAATGTAATGAATGGTTCAGATCCCTGAATACCAGATCAATTTTGCACCAGGAAGAGGCATTATAAGGAATTAGAGGGCCTTCTGTAGCATAGTAAACTGCAAGCATGTTGAAGCAGGTAGAACTGAACAAAAAGGGCCAGCTTTCCTGAAACGTTAATCATCCACAGCAATAGGAGCTGTATGAACAGCGACTGTCAGTACTGGTATTTCAGCAGAACCTTGTCTAAACTTTGATTTGTGGTTCTGCAAAAGTTTAATACATAGCAAAAGAAGATAAGGGTTTTAAAACATCTCATACATGTTTTACATGTATGAAAATATAATCACAGCTCCAATTTCTGGATACTCAAATTTTTCCTTAGAGCCCATTTAGCCACAGCAGTTAAGCAGGAACTCAAGACCTAACTGTTTTTGCTGCAGCTGGTACATAGCCTTGGTGATTTCCCCATGTATGATCTTAACCACCTTCACAAAATCTGGAAGATGGACTAGATTTAAAAAAAAAAAAAAAAATTGGAAATTATGTAGGGCAAGACTGACCTCTCAATACTATTAAGGAGAAGTCCATGAAGCGATTGATCCTTGCACGGATTCCCATGTCTAGAGTCTGTTGCTGTGTGCTAATGCTGTGGAAGAACAATCCATTTTTCTCATACTGCTCTTCCCATTTAGTCTGTCAGAGAGCCAGTCAGCACTGACAAACACCTGAGATGGTATGAGTGGCAACTAGCTGGATTCTAGAAAATAAATTTGGCACTAAGAATCACTGTGTTGCTAGTCTAACTTGAGAACTGAGGTAGATCTAGGCTTCCACACAGTAGATGCTGATATAAGTGTATTGCTAGATCCTAAATAGCTGTTAAGGATGCAAGGACACAACGTTTACTGTTAGATCCTGGCAGGCCACAGTGCTAAAATGGTACTTTGTTCCCACAGGAATGAACATTTAACAACAGTTTCTAGGACAGTTAAAGGCAATTTGATTACTTGATTATTAGGGTTTTGGCCCACGTTGCTCCAAAATCTTTTGAGCGACTTGCAAGGCATGTCAGGTTGGGATGAAGACTTTGAGGAATAAAAAAAGAAAAGAAAAAAAAGTAGTCATGTTTAATTTTGTGGCTGTAAGAGATAACTAGACTATAGGGAAGGCTTTTGGGTTTGAGATTAGTGTTGAGAACTGTGGAGAAGGGACTTTGGGTCAAGCAGTTCTAGGATAAGGGGTCATTTTGACAGGAGGAAACCAGTTCATTGCTAATTTATTAGAAGGCTCGGGGTCATACTTAAACTAATTAGCGTTACAGCAACAGCTAAACAGTGAAAGTACTTCAACTCTTGCTATCCCAAACAATAGCAGTACGTTTCCCTTTTGACTCTAGCTTAAATTCCAGTTTAGAGACTAGCAATCCATAGACCACGCAAATCCAGCAATGAACATACATCTCCATTTCCTTTTGAATTTGAACCCAAACCTCTCTGTGTCTGTATCAGTCTCAGGTCTAACGATAATCCATTCACTCCTGTTTACAGACATCATTCTAGTCCTCAACTTGGTAGTATTCACGGGTAAGATTTGTTCTTCTATTCCCACTGTCCTAAACACATGGGACTCCAGAGTCCCAAGCCAAGCTCTAGTTCTTCTCCTAGTCTTGCAAGATCCAGTAATAAATCCAGCTCTTCAGCCCCTCTTGTCTTGAATCTTAACGTTAATTTGAACTGTAACAACAGTTTAGAAACCTAAAAATGAATCACAGGCCATTTTATAGGCATTGTCAATCCAACAAAAAAGCTTAGTTTTCAGTTACTGCTTTGCCAAAAACTCCCACTCATTTTAACTACAGCCTGGTGACCTATAACTGATGATCAGCTATTTATCTCTGTCAGCTCCACCATTCATCTTAACTTTATGGGTTTTGGAGGAAAGATCAAGTAGTTAAGTGTCTCAGCTCTTGTCATTTTTAACCTTAACCCAACACCTGATATTGACAGGCACAAAACGAATTAAGACTGAATCTGGAGAAGAAACGGTCTTAATTACTTTTAAGGCTGGTATTTGCCATATCAGAAGCTAGAGAACTTAATTTTTATTCTTCCTACATGGCATACATGTCTAAGATGATGATGATTTGGTACTTACTAGGTACAAAGAAGTTAAGGTTTGTCTTAAGATAGGGATGTGTTGCTTGTCTCTTTATACTGAGGCTTAAACAACAGCCAGGAACTAAAGGAACAGATTTGTCGCTGCTTCCTGCAGTTTCTGACCTGGGATGATGTCTGGAATCAGCAAGAACAGATGGTTTCAGGTAGGCACAGGCTACTTGATTACTTTCAGGGCTACTGTCAAGCCTGAACTTTGGGACAGCAAAACTAAGTTTAGTGTTCCATTCTCTCATGCCCATAATGCTACAATTAAGGTTTATCCTAACAGGGTAGAGATCTGAAAGGCAATTTTGAGACAGGAATAACTAGAACGTAAGGTTGGGCAAAGGTAAGGATTAGAACATATTGCTTTGTTCTGTAAAACTCACAGTGCTACAACGAGAGCTGGCGCTAACAGAAATACAGGGAGGAAAGCCAGGATTCCCTTAGCTTTGGTTATGCCTGGAACAGTGGCGGCATATCACTTGCACGAATTGCATCAGGAATAGTAAAGATGAGCTAAGGCACTCTTAAAAATTGGCAGTACATACACTTCAGCGTGTCATCACGACACACAGGAAATAAGCAGTCATCTTTTGACGCAGAATTTCTTTTGACTCATTGAAAGGCCTTCATCCTGTTCCCAGAACTTGACCTAAATAAAGTTAGTAATCCTCTGTTTCTGTCCTTAGATGCTTCTGAAATGGGTGTATTGAGACAAGGACTGCCCTATCACCAGTTGGATTGCATCCTCCCTCTCAGTCATTCTTTGCAAGTCCTGCATATTGCTACATATAGGACTTGCCAAAATTGGGTCAGAAGGGCAAAGCAAAATGCATGCAGTTGAGAGACTGAGAATTTTTTTTACATCTACTCTTCCGTTCCTATTTCCTACTTCTGGTCTTAACACGAGCAGCTGCCTATCTTCAGGGAAGATATAAACATCACGGAGCCTAATTCAAGGCTAAACCTGGAGAACTGTTTGTAATGCTGCATGTATTGTGCTTGTTTAATGATGTGTTTACTGCACTAAATTAAGTCTGGACTCTCAGGAGTAATTGCAGAAGCTTCCTTTAACGAGGTAATAATCGTTTGCTAAAGTCAGTGTACATAACGTGTAACCTCCTGCAGCCACGCATCGGTACAGGTATTTATTTACCTGCAGAGGTAATCCGCCGTCCCAGCCTTAATTTTAGAAAGATATCCGGCGCTGAGATGAAGTTCAAAATCCCATCGGCGTTCGAGGAGCGGAGCCCCTTCAGCTTACAGGCGCGTAGGGGGCGAAGCAGCGAAAAAGCCACGCCAGGAAAAGCCCGGCCGAGGACGGCCGCGCCCAGAGGGCACC